AATAAAAAAAAATTTCATGCCACTATTGTGGCCTTCTATGGAAAAACTTAGTAGGCTTTTGTTTGGTCAGAGCGAAGTGTTTTCCCTAATTTATATCAATTTGATAAGACAAAAAAAAAATTGCCACCACTTATATTAAACATCTTGTTTTTTTTTATATTTTGAGGATTAAAAAAAATTGTTTTTTGGTTGTGTTTTTTTAAGAGAGAAAGAAAGTTGAGAAAACAGTTGGTTTCACCTGTTCTATTGGACATCAAACTTTTCCTTTCCACCATTTTTATTAGGTCTTTCCACATTTCTGTGGAAAGACCTATTGATTTCCTTCTGTTTCTTCTTTTCCTTTTTTATTATTTTTCCGCCGTGTGATTTTTTGTTTCAAGATTTATTGAAAAGATTTATTGTCTATAAGAATGTACTCCGTAAAAGATGTTTGCAGTTAAATGAACCTTGACTGCTTTCAAAGTTATTGTCCCTTTCGCAAGAAATGCTTGTTATCGCTACTCCTCAGAAACCGTAAACCGCAGAGGTATGAAACCTTTATGAATGTCTTAGACTAATTATGGGGACTCTTCAATCTATTCATTGCGAAAGTATTCGGTGACCCCTTCAATGAATTATTGCCCCTGAAACTTTTTGAATTTTACAAATAATTAAAAAATTTCAAAACAAGAAGTCATAGAGACATAGGACCAACTGCATAAGATTCATTGACCTTTGACCTTAAAATTCATGTAAAGGTCAAAGGTCAAGGTCATTCCAAAAATGAGAAAATTAGCAACATATACTTAATGTCAATGCATCATTAATATGTACTCTTAAAACTGTTTCAAAGATTTCATTCTTGTCCCCTAAGATAAAACCTTTTAAAAGTTATTGCCCCTTGTGCGAAAAACCTTGTTATCGCTACTCCTCCGAAATTGTAGACCCTAGAGACACCAAACCTTCACTAATATCTTAAGGGTCTTTAGACCTAACTTCACTGTATAAGTGCTAAAGAATCTGATGACTCCTTATATGAGTTATTGCCCTTTAACTTCTTTATACTTACTATTAAACCTTGTATCTTGAAAACTATAAATGGTAGAAGCATGGGGTCAATTGCATTGTGACCCTTGACCTTTGACCTTGAATATTTTGTCAAGATCAAAGGTCAAGGTCATTCCAAAAATTAGAAATTAAGCTCTTTTTATATCTCTTTTGTCTTTTAACATATGCAAACAGTCTCTGCAACATTAATATGAACTCTTAAAACTATTACAAAGATTTCATTTTTGTTCCCCAAGATTGACCTTATCAAAAGTTATTGCCCCTTATGCAAAAAACATTGTTATCGCTACAACTTCAAAACTGTAGACCGTAGAGGCATGAACTCTTCACTAATGTCTTAAGGGTCTTTAGGCACACCTTCATTGTATAAGTACTAAAGGATTTAATGACCCTTTATATGAGTTATTGCCCTTTAACTTCTTTGCACTTAATATTTAAACTTATAACTATAGAACTAAAAGTCGTAGAGGCATGGGGTCAATTGCAATGTGACCTTGACCTTTGACCTTGAAGATCTTATCAAGGTCAAAGGTCAAGGTCATTTCAAAAAAAAATTTTTTTTTTTTTTAAAATTTTCATTTTCTTTTTTTAAGCCATTTCCCTTAAAATTAAATTGGAGAGTAAAATATAAAACTATCAGAAATTAAAAAAGGTGGAAAGACCTCTTATTGTTCTGTGAACAATAAGTCTCCTAGTTATAAATCATTTTTTTAGTTTTATAATAAAATTTTATTTGTGATAATATAGTGTGTGGAAATTATCAATAATGGCTTCTGGGTGCATCATGAAGTATGGCGATATGATATTTAGGCCAAAGAAGAATATCAATATTTTGAATATCAATGTTTTTTTTCAATAAAACTTATCTCTTATTATAAAAGATTTCTTTAATATCAATATTTATCCGTAGGCCATTTTTATTCGTAAACAAAAGTACAAATCCTTCAGGTAATTAAAAATAAGAAAATAGCCATCTTTTTGGTAAGGGATTGTTCATTATTTATGCTTTTCCATTGCGGTTCATGAATGGTGCAATGATATAGTACAAATTTTGAATTAATTAAAACATTGCACTTGGATAATCTTTGGAAAGCATAAAACTTCCTCTCACTTCTCAGCAATGGCTTTGTAGCTTTGGTCCTATTTTTAGCACACCTGAGCCCAAGGCTCAAGTGAGCTTTTCTGATCAAAGTTTGTCCGTTGTCTGTCGTTGTTGTTATTGTTGTCGTTGTAAACTTTTCATATTTTCATCTTCTTCTCAAGAACCACTTGGCCAATTTCAACCAAACTTGGCACAAAGTATCCTTGGGTGAAGGGGATTCAAGTTTCTTCAAATGAAGGGCCACGCCCTCTTCCAAGGGGAGATAATTATGAATTAGATAAAAATTAATGGCATTTTTAAAAAATCTTCTTCTCAAGAACCACTGAGCCAGGAAAGATGAAACTTATGTGGAATCATCCGCAGGTAGTGTAGATTCAAGTTTGTTCAAATCATGACCCCCGGGGGTAGGGTGGGGCCAAAATGGCTGATCAAAATTTTACATAGGAATATATAGAAAAAAATCTTCTTCTCAAGAACCACTGGGCCAGGAAAGATGAAACTCATGTGCAATCATCCTCAGATAGTGTAGATTCAAGTTTGCTCAAATCATGACCCCAGGGGGGTAGGGTGGGGCCAAAATGGCCGATCAAATTTTTACATATGAATATATAGTAAAACATCTTTAAAAATCTTCTCAATAACCACTGGGCCAGGAAAGATGAAACTCATGTGGAATCATCCTCAGGTAGTGTAAATTCAAATTTGTTCAAATCGTGACCCCCGGGGGTAGGGTGGGGCCAAAATCGCTGATCAAAGTTTTACATAGGAATATATAGAAAAAATCTTTTAAAATCTTCTTCTCAAGGACCACTGGGCCAGGAAAGAAGAAACTAATGTGGAATCATCCTCAGGTAGTGTAGATTAAAGTTTGTTCAAATCATGACCCCCAGGGTAGGGTGGGGCCAAAATGGTCGATCAAAGTTTTTCATAAGAATATATAGGGAAATCTTTTAAAATCTCCTTTTCAAGTACTTCAAAGCCATGATTAGTGATATTTAATGTTATATGAAATCATCCTCAGGTAGTGTAGATTCTAGTTTGTTCAAATCATGACCCCCTGGGGGGTATAATTTAAACCCCCCCCCCCTCCAACCTCAGTAAACTTTAATTTCTGATCTGATATTTGCTTTTTCCTAGCCAGTGTGCTCAGGTGAGCGCTGTGGCACCTGGGCCTCTTGTTCTTTAATGTATTCCCACATAAAATTGTGAACCAATATTACTGTAAACGTACTTTATTTGGCGGTGTATTCTATTTAACGATTTTGGCTGAAAGCAGAATCCGTGAAATCAAATACACCGCGAAATGTCGTCACATATCATTTGTTATATCTATCACATTCAGATGGCGCTAAATCGAATTTATGCTAACTTGTTGAAAAATTAATTTCCGCCAAATATTGTACAAGCCAAATATCGTATATTAATTTTAAAGTATGTCCCTGGGCTTGGACTTTGAGTATTGTTTCATTGTCCTCATACTAAATTTTATGAAAAGTGTCGATGCATTGAAGATTATTACTCCTGAGACTATGGTCTTAAGTCTATAGGGCCTCGGTAAAAATTCTTTATTTATCTACACATTTTGTCACGAGAAAACAGTAATTCAGGCAAGCATCATGGTCCATACTCCATAGACCACCTGAAGGTGTCCTGCTATTTTGGTCAAAGTTGTTGTTTTTGTTTTTCTGGAGTAACCTTATATCAAATCTTTTGATATGACCTTCAAAATGTAATTTGGTGGGAATTTTTTTTTTTTCTAATTAAAAGTGAAATTAATTTCAAATATTTGTAATATGATAAAGTGACAGGTAATTATTATGCACCTTGAGAACTATAAATAGCAGTTCATGACAAATGAGTCCATTTTGTCATGTCTCACCTGATAACAGGTGAGAACTCCAATACACAGATATAGCCCCCAGTGATCAAAGAAGTGTTCAGCTTAGTGATCAATTACTGAAACAGGATATAGCAGATAATCATGAAATTATCCAGGTTCCTACAGTTAGAAGGTTTGTTTTGGTGGTGGATAAAAGCTTGTGAAGTGTTCCATAGGAAGACATTCCCGTAATAATAAAAAATATCTACATAAAAGATGGCAGCTATTATAACAAAAAAATGGCATATGTTAAATGAATACTGGTTAATGAAAAGGTATATTATGTGACATTATATTGGTTTTATCTTTTGTTTAGAAGGTATCGTCTACTACATTTACATTTATTTTCACATGATACATAAAAATTATATACAAAAGGAGCAAAGGAGTAGCTAGAGTTATAATATGATTTTCTGTTAGTGACACGACCTGTTGATGTCTGTAGTCCTACACATACTTGGATCGCTGAAGTGTGACATGTGTAGGAGTGCAGTTATACCTAGTTCACCAGAATTCGTGACTTAAGTTCAGACTCCTGGGTGGCAGAAATAATTAAAGAAGGTCACAAGGCAGTTTATGGAAAACAATGTCATTCTGGGCCATTCTGATAACAAAGTTTTCACTGAATATTTTACTAAATCAAGTAACAAGAGGCAGTCATCTAATAGCTGTATTATATTTGGTTTGTACAGATATAAAATTAATGAATACACTGACATTTAACAAATCAGCATGCCTTAGACATTGATAATGTTTCATGAAAAAGAGTTAGAAGCAAATTTCACCAAGGAGTGAGAAAGCTAAATGTTTTTTTTATAATTTGCGTTAGTATACTTCATCAGTTGTGCATACTCTCAGGATGTGTTGAATGTTCACCATTAAAGTTGTGAACACTGCAAATTAGTAGACTGAAATTGAAAACCAATAATTTGGAGTGAAGCTGAAGTGATACACCAATAAGTGAAGACCTACCTATGCTGGTGACATATATCTGTATGACAGCTGTCTACCTGTATCACTGATCAGTCTCCTCAGCAGGCGTAACAGGTGTGTCGTCTGCTTCCACACCGAGATGTAAAAACCAAAGGAGACCGCCACTGTCTGCACTCTAGAAAAAATTGCACAAATATTCTTATCTCAGGATTTTTTTTTCTTAGTTTTTACTTCCGAAAAATATTTACATCTGTGATTTAAGATCCACTTGGAATATTTGAGAGGAAGAAAAATTTATCAGTAAGGTTTGTTGGTGATAAAAATTTATTTCCATTGGCACTTGAAATTTGACTGGCGAGTTTGAAGACAATAATGGATTACTCTAATTATCGATATCAAGGACCTTCAAAGCACCTTTATGACTTTACCCAGGGGCAGCGTTCACAGTCTAATACATTTTCAGGAATAGCGCCTATTCCTGTTGTCTATACGGAAATGGCAATCTATGGTAAGATTTAACAAAGAAAAACATGTATATTGGAAGGGGGAAAAGACAAGATTTAAAATTTTATTGTCCCCTTGCAACAGAGTTGGAAGGGATTTAGTGACATGCTTGTGTGTGTGGGGCTGGGGGTTGGGGTTGGGTGTTAGTTTGTCTTTTTGTGTGTAAGAGGAGTTTGTTCTTAATGTGTGGAAAAGAATTGTCATAATTTGCATTGAGATCAATGTCAAATGCTGCTTTGATTTACAGTCTCAGATACTGTATATGCTCTTTTGTAAGGGGATGCACAGCATTGCAGTGTCCTTGATTTGGGCAGCTATCATGTGGTTATATTTTAACTTATATTTTGGTAATTTTTAGCATGCCATAAAATTGAAAAAAAAAAGCAGTTTTATAATGCAAAAATTGCTATATCTTCTTAAACAAATACTGGTATTACTTCCATATACCCTTTGACAAACACAAACTGTTGATTGTAATAGCTCAGTGATGAAGTATACCGAAGGAGTTTATGTTGAGATGGCCATCTTCAATCTGTGTGACTTTCGACTTTTTTTTTTCAAAAAAATGTTCATTCTCACCCAACCCCACCCCATTCCCATTCTTGAAGTTGTATTAAAATTGTTACTTGAAATTAGGTCTGAGTATTGGCCGAGAATTGGTATTGTGATACATTGCAATATTTTTAACTGTATTGCAATTATTCAGTAACAGTCAAAATGATCTTTCTTACCTTATTATTCTTCATTTATAAATAGAGTATATAAAACTATTATAAATATGTTGTAACAACTAAGTTCTTGTTGATTTCACTACAGTTTTGCAATGAAAGCAACTTTACTGTTTAAATTGGCACATTTGATAGTGGTAGGATTTCATTTGTCATACCGGCATACGCCAAATGCACGGCTTGACCTTTGGTAACCTGGCATGTTACTCCATTTGACCTGGGAAGGTTCGCCTGTGTACGCCGATCTTGCCGGTCTGAAATGACCTCCTAGGAAATCGCCGGTCTTAGAAATATGGTGGGAAGAGAAAACAAATGTGAAAATGCAGATACTTTTTACCAAATCGACATGTTCTTTATTTGTTTGCATATTTTGAGCAAATCTTTATTCATATATTTGAAATATGTTTTTATTTTCTCATAAAAAATAAAATTTTTCATGAGGTCCATGTTTTCTTTTAAAATTGAATTTCGAATTATTCTACTAAGACATAATGTAAAAAGTGAAAAACTTAATTAATTGATTATCATTTAACGTAATTATTCAATTTTTTATGTTTTCACCAGTTTACTTCATTTGCTTGTTAGCTGTTTTACGCCAGTCATATGACCGGCGCAATTTGGCGTACGCCGATAAGTGACAAATGAAATTGGCCCAATGCTGGTGACAATTGATAATGCTTCTGACATCTGAAGTTCAAAATTTTCCCTTAAAATTCATCAAGCCTATTAGAAAGAATTTTCCAGTATATCTGTATTGAAAAATATATTGCAATACGATATATTTTCTCCACGAATAGAAAATATACTGGAATATCAATATTATTGAAATAGAGTTATATTTCATTGTTAATAATATTCATTTCAAATGCTACTCCTACAGAACTATATACCCTTACTCCTACAGAACTACCCTGACTTTGTTATATAATTATATAGACTACATCAAGATTCTTAATTTTATTTAGCAGTTTTAAATTATAATGGATAGTGTTGTCATGGTTACTGAAGATAGAATCATATATTTTATTTTTGTGAAAAACAATTTCTTGCTCAGTTTTGATATGATCTCACTAAAATAGAAGATTTGATACAAGGGTCATTAAAACTTAGTACAAGCTTAGCTTACAATCTTATGTAAAATTTTTAATTTAGATAAACAATTTTATGATCAACATAAGTAAAAAAAATATATTTGAAATTCAATATATTCCAAAAATAGTTTGAATCAACTTTAACAAGTCTAAATAAATAAGTATGACTGAATTTAAGTAAGATATTACCGTGACATTCTAATTCTGTTTAACATAAATGCTCATAAAGTCCAACCACAGCACAATAATCTTTGGTGAAAAAAAAAAACAAATGACTTATTGGAAAAGTATAATATTTCTGCTTGTAAAAAAAAAAACAAGGTAATTAAGTAAAGTGCAAGTAGTTTTTCACATGATAAAAAGATAAATATGACACCTGTATGATTGCATGAAATTGATGTCTTCAGAGAAGCCTATCCTATAGAATAAAAACTGAATAGTCTACAAATCAAGAGTGTATAGGGTATTAAAGCCTTTCTCAAGTGTGAAATCTTTGTCTGGTCGAGGTCAAGAAGTTGAAGAAGATTTTATAAATTATGCTTTAGTGGAAGGAAGCTTCGGACAAAGCAAGAATTCAGTGTGGAGTAAAATTTCCTTAAAATTCTGTCAAATATAGACTTTTCCACAGAAGGTTTATGAAGAAAGGAAACTGAAGACAAAATATCATGTCTCTGACCTTTGAAGGATCTTAGAAGTTTATGAAGCAACGTCAGAGAGCTTCTGGGTACAATTTGACATTCCCAAGTGATCTGATAAAAGCTCATGCACACTGATGACATTTTATTGTAAAGATGTTGCATTGGGAGATACCTATGATCACATGTATGTTTGATTCTGTAGTCATGATCCAAATAGGTATCAGACCAAGATATTGCAGTGCATTTTATACTTATGTATATCATTACAAGGAATAGCAAATCCTATTTAGCCTAAATTGGCATATTTATGATTACCTCTAGAGTAGCTCATACTAACTGGGCTAAGCAAGGACTTTAAGTTGGATGTTAAGTTTTAACTTTAGGGTAAAATGGATTTTTTTCCCCACTGTACTCTTTGCAAATTTTTGATGTGTGTTTGACAGTTTTATACATACTGTCACAACATGTATTAATTAAGTTGTCAAGAACTTTGCTCATTGGATTCAGAGACAATGTCTTCTCTAAGTTTCATCCATCTTGTGACAGGGTGGACATGAATGTGAGAGAATTCATTAGTGAATAAAAAATTCTCTAAATTCCTTTTAAAAACAGCATCATTCATGACTTCACTTCTCATAAATTGCATGTTCTCAAGACCCACTGAAAGAAGCCTTGAGAGATGAGGCAGATGGGCTGAGATAAGCAGTATCTTTGTCAAGAAACTCTGTACAACTTCAAGATGATGAGTTAACTTTATGGAATGGTTTAAGTTCTGTTTATAAATATTGTGTCTGTGTTTTTTCCAGGGACACCTGATAATTCCAAAGGAGGGAATAGAAAACGCAAGGGAGGATCTGGGAGGGAGTAAGTAACACGAGATAACCTTACGTTTTATCTGGGAACCCTTCATATGCAGCCCAGACTAGATATAAAATTATCAAAGTTTGGGTCTATTTTATTTTACAAAGAATTTTTTGAATTATAAACATATTTGAATCATCTGCATCCAGTCTCGGTTATCTGTATACATGAGGCATTTTTTTTAGAATGAACATGATAAATAGTTAGACTTAATAAAAACGATTAAATGAATTGTTCAAGAATTTAAATATTTTCTTCTCAATATTTTCTACTCAAGTCATATACTTAATTACCTAATTGCCAATTCTTACCCACAAAAAGATGTGATAATTAATCATGTAGTGGGTATATTTGACTGTATGATTTATGTAGGTCATGATTCTATTATTAGGTCAGATGAGGAGGATGGTCAAGGTGGGGGGTACAATCAGGAGCAGGCTGACAAGGAAAGGTTTGCCAGGTAAAAATAGCAATTATCCACTTAACACAATCTAATGTGGTCATTACGTGTATCACACATCATGATGAACATTTTAACTCTCCTGTAAGTCGTTCTAATGTCAAAATTTTATCTTCATCTTTTTTGCTCATAAGGTGTTTATTTTTACAATATATAGAAACAGGTTGAGTTTTTATGTGCTTGGATCAATAGATCAGGGACATCTATTGTTTTTGTCCTGTCTGTCTGTTTATCTGTTTGTCTGTTTGTCCATCTGTTCAGTGTTGTCAACATAAAGCTTCACCTTAACTTTTGAACCATGAGAGATAGAGACTTCATATTTGGTATGCTTACTCCACTAATTAAGCTCTTTCAAATGAAACCAAGGTCAATGACCTTATGACATTGACTGTGACCTATATGATAAAAATATTTTTTATCATCTTTGTTGCCGCTGGGCACATGGTGTTTCACAAACACATCTTGTTTCTTTTTGGAACATTGGTATTCTTAAATTTTGTCATTGCATATTGCAGAGGGGTTTAAGTTTTGAGTGTGATTCATTCTTAAGCTGTTTTATTAAAGCAGTAAAGAAAGATCTAAAAATTATTAAAAATGTATGAATTCATCTGACCAAAAAAATTATAGAGATTCTAAATTAAGCATGGATTTTATTTTTCATTTCAGTAACAACATTTCTATAATGGTCATAGGCAGGAAATAGAAATTATACATAAGTTTGATTTCCTTGACATTTTCTGTGCAGGGATTCAGACACATTAACTCTTTATTAAGTGGATACTTATCTTCATTGGGTCATTACAAAGTTGTAGCTCTGTTAATCGGAAACACTTATCACAGTTAGGCCTTTATAATGACTGAAAAGTAGCTTTCATTTTTTCCTAGTTACTGTATCACATATATTTAGTTAAAATATTGTATCAAAACTTATTGAATCTACTATAAGCAATAAGGATAATCAAAGTCCTGAAAGATTGGGTCAGTTAAAAAAGATTAGAACATTGATTGATATTAATTGACTGACATTAATTAAGTCCAAATTAATCTGACATTTGATTGATACACATTGGAGTAGTTTGTTTGTATATATGCACCTGTAATGATTCTAAAAGGAGGAAAATTTTCAAAGTATATTAACAACAATAAAAATTGCTATTTACTTTGATGAGCTACATGAATTAGTTCAATAAAAGAGAACATAGAGAGCACTAATTGATAAGTAAATGTGCAACATTTTCTATCTGATATATTAGCAGAGGTGAATAGCAAAACAATCTGGTTTGAAAACTTGAGTCATTACCTCAACAGAAAAAGAGATGGATATGGATTTCCCAAGATTTTCAATTTATTTCTTGTTAGCAGCAATACATTAAAGGAATAAATGTGTAAATTAATGGCATATTCTCTCCAATTTTAATTACTTTTTCTAAATTAGATAAATAGTACAAAAAGCTAAAAACAAAAATTAGTAATAACAAATACTCTGTATGAAAAATAAACAGATGCAGTACAAATACAGGTACTATTATATATTCATAATATGTATGGCCATGACAGCAGTATGTTGTCTGTTTTTGTAGAGAGAGTCATTGTGAGATAGAGAGAAGAAGGAGGAATAAGATGACCTCTTACATCAATGAACTCTGTGACATGGTTCCTACCTGTAGTACGCTGGCCAGAAAACCAGACAAGCTGACCATCCTTAGAATGGCAGTCTCTCACATGAAAACTTTAAGAGGTACAGGTAATATTAAGTCTGAGATATTGACAATGCAGGAAAAGATAACCTTATATTCCTAACGAGAGTTTTTTATGAAAATTATAAAGGTTCAGACATTTTTACATTAAAGACAAAATACATGTATACCGCATTACCAGTACATGTATTTTTTGGAAAAAAAATTACAATAATACTTGTACAGAAAGAAAACTGTTTAAGAACTAGGGCATAAGAGGGCCTAGCAGGATGGCTAAATCAATAATCCTGAGATTGTGACCTAGATTTAGATCAAGTGAGAACCATTAGATATAAATGTGTCTTCCTCTTCTCAGTCTTTGCAATGATCAGGAATTGTCGTTAAGTAAAGAAACAGCTATTACATTGCAAAAAAATAAGTTTTGACATTTGATGTAAACCACTTTCCTTGTAGTCGTGGTTTATGTGTTTCATAAACAAATATGTTCTACTCCATTTTTAAATTTGTCTTGGATCCACTTATCATTACTTTATGTGTAAGTGTCACCAGAGAGTAATTTTTTGTGAAAATTATACAGTAGAGAAAATTAGACATGCTGCAGTTGACTCCCAAGTCTGTTTGGTCCCCCTTTAGTCATTTAGCTTCCACAATTATGGAATGGATCTGTAAAACAGTTAAAATGTTCTAGGGAGAATTGTCTACAAATTATTTTCCTATAATGCAGTATAGAATACAATCAGTATCGAAATCTGTAGCATGCAAGTATCATTACTAGTTGTTAGACATCATGGTGAGCTGTGCAACACATTGAAAAGTTTGTAATTAATATAGCAATACAACCCCCGATTAAAAAAAAAAAAACAACACTTTTTGATGCTACAGTGTATAGGATTAAAAAAGCTGCATAGAATTTTTTTTATACATGTACCACTTGCCTTGTTAAAATGGTTGTAATTTTCAGTTGTTAAATATTGTTAATCCACTAACGTCCATCAATTGCCCCCCCCCCCCCCCCCCCAACTTCGCCAATTTAATCAATGTAAATAATGTTTGGCAAGAGTGATGCTGATTGGTATATTATTTTCAGTAGCTGGAAACACCAGTGTTGATGGTTGTTATAAGCCATCCTTCCTGACTGACCAGGAGCTCAAACATCTTATACTAGAGGTATATATTATCTATTTAATGACTGGTTACATGTTTTGTCTGATTAAAATTCAACTGTTAGCCAAAGGCCATTGGACTGAAGGCATTTAGTTGATCTGAGGGATCAACAAAATGCATTTTGCCCAATACCACAATCTTAAAATCTTTTGCATTTTATTTTTTCTTTAAACCTATCTTGCCCTGGCTCCCAGGTTTTAGATAAGTGTTTAGTAAAATCTGATCCCTGCCCCTACAATGTAATGTTAAAAATGTTGTAGGGTTCCAATATCTCATGAACAAATTGATTGTATTTTCAGGCAGCTGATGGGTTCCTGTTTGTTGTTCAGTGTGACACAGGCAGAATGATTTACGTCTCAGATTCCATCACACAGGTTCTAAACCAATCTCAGGTAAACCCATTATATGCAGGCTGTGAACACCATATGATGCATCTCAGTTCAATTAGGTGTCTTATGTACTTTATTCTGCATGGTATTCCTTTAGGGCTGCTAAAGTATACAATAAATCATAACAGCTAAAATAATTGTAGTACAGCTACGCGTAAATATTATGTACATTGACTTCAAGGTTTCTGGGACTTATAGAATTAATGATGTCTGTATGTTGTTGAAAAGATGTAAATCTGTATTTAGAATGGTTTTTGACATCAATCTTTATCTTCCAAACAGGCTGACTGGTTTGGAAACTCCATGTATGAACTGGTACATCCTGATGATGTGGAGAAGGTTAGAGAACAGCTGTCAACTTCTGAATCTCAGAACACTGGAAGAATTCTAGACTTAAAAAGTAAGTTACCACACAGTAGAAAAAGAAAAATCTAGGCTGAAAAAAGAAAGTTACAACAGAGCATTGGAAGAATTTGAGACTTGAAAATATAATTTATCACTGTGCATGACTTGAAGTAATAATTTATCACCAAACATAACAGGAATTGTAGAAATTACATTAATAAAAGAATTCTACATATTGATTTTTTTACTGTTTCAAATTTGGCAAATCAAAATACATAATTAAAGATTTGCTATATTCTAGAAACTGACTTTTTCTCTTTCTAGCTGGAACAGTCAAGAAAGACAGTCACCAGAGTAAGTAGCAAAGTTTTTAAAAAGATAAGAAACTGCTTGGAAATGTCAACCAATTTATATCTTATCCAACCAGATTTTGAATACTTAGAGATTAAATCATTTGACTTTGTTGTGTTTAGCGTCTATCAGATTGTGTATGGGATCGAGACGAGGGTTTATATGTCGTATGAAGATGGGTAACGTAGATGTTAGCAGCATGAACTCAAGTCACACCCACCGAGCACGACAGCGAAATACTCTAGGGCCCTCGCCTGATGGCAACCACTATACCGTAGTCCATGTAACGGGCTATATCAAAAACTGGCCACCCTCAGGTAATTTAGGGCTGAAACATTGATAAAAATATAATGAAAATTTGCTATTTTTTGTCTGCTTAAAAATGACTAAAAAATTAGTAATAATTCTAAATATCTGTATATTTATATTTTGTATATATTTATATTTGACCATAGGAGTGCAGATGGACCGAGACTCAGATGAGAACTCCAGCACACACTGTTGTCTGGTGGGCATCGGTCGACTCCAGGTAACCAGTACACCTAACTGCAGCGATCTCATGGGACCCAATGGCAGCACAGAGTTCATATCCAGGCATAATATTGATGGAAAATTCACATTTGTAGACCAAAGGTGATTAATATTATATAAATATTGCATGTAGTTGAGTGTAACATTGAAAATTTTCACCCCTCGAAAACCATTGTCAACCGATATTTTCAATGTTACTCTCAACTACATGTTTATTATATTATACTGAATGTTTTATACAAATACATATAACAGTGAACCGTGCGTGCATAAATTCTGTGCAGTCGCTATTTTTTGGAATACCACCCGTCGTCAAGCAATGTTGACTGTTGCTACGCTAGAGGGCGTGGCGTCATTATTCAGCGGGTAGTAGTGTTTTTTAACAAATGTTTCTCAACCAGATTCAACTAATTTTACATGAAGTATAATATTTAGTATTACTAGGGTGTAAAGTTTTAAAATTCATAATATACAAATATGAACTGTATAGAAGGGAGACATCACAAATTATCCGGTTTGAGTGGGGTTGTTACCTGAGATGCACCTGAGAATGACAACCCTACTCAGTCCAATAATTCATGGGGTTTCACTTCTAAACAATACATATTAGTTTTACAAGTATTTTCCTGAATAATCTTAACTTCATGAAATTTTATGGGTCAGTTTACAAGTTTGAAACCACCATTCGAATTTATTGTTTACAGATTTCACACATATATTAATTATTTTATTACATGAGTTAGTTTAATTGCAACATTTTTATTATACCCACTGCAAATGAATATTGGGGGGGTATATAGGAATCACCTTGTCCGTCTGTCTAGCTGTCTGTCAGGCTGTGCAAACGTGTCCGGTCCGTATCTTTCTTACGGAGGATAATTGGATTCTACTACTCCACACAAAGATTGTCCATGACCTAAGGATGAGTCATGACCTTGACCCAAGGTCATTTTAGGAAGTTCAAGGTCACTGGAAGAAACATAATTTGTGTCTGGTCCATATCGTTCTTATGGATATACTTGGTAGGTGCTAATTTCACACAAAGATTCCTCCTGACCTAGGGATGTGTCATGACCTTGGGTCAAGGTCATTTGGGGAAGTTCAAGGTCACTGGAAGAAAAATTTCATAATTTGTGTCCGGTCCATATCTTTCTCATGGATAAATTGATAGGTTCTCATTTCAGACAAAGATTGCTCATGACCTAAGGATGTGTCATGACCTTGGGTCAAGGTCATTTGGGGAAGTTCAAGGTCACTGGAAGAAAAATTTTATAATTTGTGTTCGGTCCATATCTTTTGTCCCCCGCTTTCGCGAAAGGGAGGGGACATTAAATCTCATTCGTCTGTCTGTCTGTCCGTCAGTCTGTCCGTCACAAAAAGTTTAACCTTGCCCATAACTTTTGATTTAGTGGAGCTATGACTTTCATATTTCACATGTGTATTCCTTGTGACAAGACCTTTCTTTGGGTACCACCAAATTTGACCTTTTGACCTTGACCTTGGAGTTTGACCCACTTTTACACAAAAATTCCAAACTTTTACTTTGGCCATAACTTTTGAATAGTAAGTACTAGGATTTCATATTTCACATATGTATTGTTTGAGGCAAAACCTTTCATTGGATAACAACAACCTTGACCTTTTGACCTTGACCTTGGAGATTTATGTACTTATGAAAAAACTTTAACCTTGACCATAACTTTTGAACGGTGAGGACTAGGGCTTTTGTACTTCACATATGTGATCCTTTTGAGAAGACTTTCATTGGATACCAATAACTTTTACCCTTTGACCTTGACCTTGGAGTTTTAACTACGTTTTAAAAATACTTTAACTTTGGTCACAACTTTTGAACGGTAGATACTAGGACTTTTATATTTCACATATGTATTCATTGTGGCAAGTCATTTCATTGGATAACAACAACCTTGACCTTTTGACCTTGACCTTGGAGATTTATGTACTTATGAAAAAACTTTAACCTTGACCATAACTTTTGAACGGTGAGGACGAAGGCTTTCGTACTTCACGTATATAATCCTTGTGAGAAGACCTTTCATTGGATACCAATAACTTTTGCCCTTTGACCTTGACCTTGGAGTTTTAATTACATTTTTAAAACTTTAACCTTGGTCACAAGTTTTAAACAGTAGAAACTAGGACTTTTATATTTCACATATGTATTCCTTGTGGCAAAACATTTCATTGGACACCAACAACGACCTTGGAGATTTATGTACTTATGAAAAAAACTTTAACCTTGATCATAACTTCTGAACAGTAAGGGCTAGGGATTTCATACTTCACATATGTAATCCTTGTGAGAAGACTTTCATTGGATTCTATTTTTTTTAATTAGGCTGCGCTTTTATTTCATTTGTAAAAAATATAATGAGCAATTACATTTGCACTAAAAATGTTTTAACATTTCTCTCTTCTCTTAGATCCATAAAATATTCATGATTTAGCACTTCTGAAAAACCCAGAAGGGGGTATTTTGTCCTGTTTGGACAGTTCTAGTTTCATATAAAGGGAGACAATAGAGTTGTCACTCTGCATATTAGGGAGACATATAAATTTGACATCTTGTCTCCATAGTTTACTTTTAAACCTGATTCCCATGTCTCATTGCTTATTAATGGCTGATGTGGAGAGAATTGATGTATTTTTTCTTAAGAAACCAGATTGTAAATCTATAATGTATTGTAGAGTGACACCAGTACTTGGCTATCAGCCAGCTGACCTTTTGGGAAAATCTGCCTTCGATTTTTATCACCCAGAAGACAAAGCTCATATGAAAGACACTTTTGACCAAGGTATGTGTAGTAAAAGTATACTAGTAGGCAGAAAGCAGTTCTTCTGCAAGATGAATACAAAATATAATTCTGATATAACTAGTTTCTTATGCAAAGAGTATAAAAATGTAAATTACCATCAGTATAGATTTTCTTCATAAAAGTCTCACTTTATATAAAAAAAAAATCATTTTTTTGAGTTGGCTCGCGTAGCGAGCTACTCCCTGTTGACATAGCCGTTTCAGAGCTGTAAAATTTTTCACGCATTCATCAAGGTGATCCATACACCAAATATGATAGTTCTAGCAAAAAATGCTCTTGTTTGAGTGATGGTATAAACTTAGGAGGTAAAAACTGCATAAAATATCAGACTGTTACATTATTTATGTCTTCATGCTTTTAAAGAAATTTTTGTTTAAATATCTGTAAGATGTACAATTACTGGGTTCAAGCATGTTAAGGGATAAATCTTCAATCTTCTCATCTGAAGTTTATTTATAATTGACCTAGAATACCCCCTAACACAAACACCTGCTGCTCTCATTAATTGCAGCTAGTGTGCTGAAAAATCTATTTTTAGAATCCAGATTTGCTGTGGGACTCTTTAAACTAATTACTCCATAACACTGACCACTGCAGCTAGTGTGCTTAAATAATACATTATGGAATCCAAGGTTTGCAGTGCTGCTTATCACAATAATACCCGGTATGTACGGAAGCCCATTAGTGCCAACCTGTACATACAAAGGAAAAGCAATATAGTAATACACTTTATTTTTTAATCGAACATGAAGACATATAATATTCAATCTCTTAAGATGCAAAATAAACTGAATATAAGGTATGGTGTCCAGACGTATGAAAAAGCTCAATTAACTCGAGCGAGTCAACTCGCAGGCCCTTCAGTTTGATTCCATTTTGTGTTGCAAGGGTTAACAGTAACAAGAACCCAAATAGCATTTCGTTATGAATTAATTCATGTATTAAATCTTTCAGTGTTGAAGCTAAAGGGTCAGGTGATGTCGATCATGTACCGGTGAATCATGAGTGGGTATGGCTAGGACCAGTAGCTTCAGCTTCCAGAACCCCTATACTGATGAAGTGGAGTATATTGTTTGCACAAACACATCTGCAAAGTAAGTAATAGGCTAAATTGTACATATGAATTGAGGGAAGTTTAGAATTATTGATCTTAAATAGTTGACAAGACTTGAATTACCGGTATATGTGAAATCAGTTTAAAGTATTACTTGTTCATTATGCATAAATCTTTTTATAAGTGTTGTGATTTTAGATTTAACTTTTAATTATTTAATACAGGTGCATGTTCCTGGGCATAAGAGTACCTGTATTTCAAAATGAACTTGGTACTGTTGCATGATATTAGTTCTTTTCTAGAGTGATCTTTTTCTTTATAGAAGTGTTCAGCAAGGAGCAGGTGCCTCTACTGGTCAAGGAATGCCAAATGAACAACCCCCAGATCCTAACCCGTCCATGGCCTCCTACAACACCCCTCCCCGGGGCCCCATGCCGACAGAGATGAACATCCAGCAGTCAGCTAACAAGCATGACTTCCGGGAGCCCTTCCAGGACTATAGCTCTGTTCTCACAGGTGAGTCCAGAACTAGCATGCTAGGGTGAATTTATAATGCTGAGCTTCTCTGTGAATTGACTTTGTCTGTCTGTCCTTCTTTCTGAGTTCTCTAAAATTTGTAAAATATTCTTTAAAAATAAAACAAAACACATATTCCTTTAAATATCACTGGTAATGGTGATTCTCCAATAAAACCTTGAACTTTTCCAAGGCCAAGAAAACAGGGAAAGAAAACTGAATCCTGAAATTAATTTACTGAATACATTGTATAAATCTGACCATCTCAAAACATATATAAATAGCTAGAGACTGGTTTATCTGGTTTATCATTGGTGATTCAAGAACAAAAATGACAATTGCATGCTAATTGAGCAACTTCATGCAACCAGCTTTGCTTTTAATGTGTTTGATCATGATAATCACCCAAGACAGTTAAAATCTACAATTAAACAGTAATCTATGTGTATTGACGGCATAAATTTAATATAAAAAAAAAACAGTAAGGTGTAAAATACTCTTTAACATCTCTGACATGACATTGAAGAAAGACAACTTTTGTCATTATAGGGGGCAGACAGATTGGCAGACCAGAGATGTACAATTACAACTCACCTTCTCAAATCAAGTACCCTGGACAGACCGCGGGCACCAGTATGCCATTATCTCAGGCATCGGGTGTTACTGGGGTCAGGAGAAGTCCAAACGCAGGGGGCTGGGCAGGACCGGCAGGATTTCCTCAAAATCAGGTAAATTACTTGTTTTATTGAAATAAATATATATAATGGGCCTTTTTATTAATTTTAATTAATTCAAGGAATTATACAGCTGTGGGAAAAAATAAAATAAAAGAAAAACTTCACACATAAGTATTTATTGGAAATTCACTCAAACTGAAAGCTATGTATGGTAAGTTATTTTATAATCTGATTATGAAATTAGTTTTTAATTGCTATTAAGTAGAAGATAGTATAGAAATATAAAACACTTTTTATGCCTAATAGTGTTTGAAACTCACAGTATAATTTGGTGGACATGCAGGACTGAATGCATGTACAGGTGACTCTCGATCTCTCGAAGTTCAAGGGACCGCAAGAAAAGTTCAAGAGATCGAGGGGTTCGAGAGATAGAAAGTAAAAAAAAATCCGGAATTTTCAGTTCCGATCACCGAAGTTCTACTTTTATAGATACCGGAAGTATATGTAAATAAAGTCATTGCACGTTTTCAATCGTATTTGACAGGTAATTTACGTGATATCAACAACAATGATTGTATTTCGAATAAATAAAACGAATTTTTTAAGTTTCAGTATTTATTTGTTCTTATATCATGATTACATGAAACCTGAATAGCAACTGTCGGTTTGGCTATTCCGTGGCTTGATCGGGTCCTTCACCAGTGTTCACCAGATTTTTCTTAATCGGTATTCAGTCCTTGAGAAAGGAATTTTCTTGTGCGATATTTGCCATGCTGGAATTATTTAGACTCTATTTAATCATAATATAGATTATTGAAATGAATATGAGATAATCTCATTTAATTGTTTGGATAGCATTAAACATAAGACACAACTTGGTACAAGTTATCTAGTTCATGGGAAAGTCAGCATCAGGATGAGTTAACTATTATAGCAACTTCCTCTTCCTCTTCAACATCTCAGCCATTTGGTCATTAGTAAAAGTTACAAACAAAAATCCAGTCCAATCCTAACCATCATGCCACCTAAAAGGAAGAGGGATATCAGAGGGGAGATGTTGTCGCCATCCAGGGGTAGAGGGCACAAAAAGCCTCGCCATGCTCCCAGGCAGCAAAGGTCTGAAGCCAGGAATGACCATCCCCCCCACCATGCCGAACCAGAGTCTGCAGGGAGTGATGCTTCACCCGACAGTGACTTGGGGGAATTCGCACCACCAATCATTGATGCAGATTCAAGCACGTCTGTAGGAGGTGCGGAGGAAAGCACCCGGCCACAACCTGTTCCAACAAGGCAGCTGTATAAACTGGGCAAGACCCCAATTAAACTAGATAAAATTTTTTTACATACACAAAATTATTCTGATCATCAATTTTTAAGGGAAGGTTTTCAACATGGTTTTAAATTGCAGTATTTTGGCCCTAGATCACCCAGGTTTTCTAAGAATCTTACAAGTTTAGACAAACAATATCCAGTTGCAGAGCAAAAGATTTACAAAGAAGTCTCATTGGGGAGGGTTGCGGGTCCTTTCATAGAACCACCTTTTCCAACATTACAAGTTTCTCCTTTAGGTCTTGTACCTAAAAAAGACGGTGACTACCGCCTCATTCACCATTTATCATATCCAGAATCTGCTTCAATAAATGATTTCATTGACCCAGAACAGAGCTCGGTAACCTATTCAACCATAGATGATGCTGCCGCCATTATTGCAAAATTAGGTCGGGGGGCTTTTCTGGCAAAGTCGGACATTAAATCAGCCTTTAGGTTGCTACCAGTGAACAGCACTGATTTCGACTTGTTAGGTTTTCACTTCAATGATGGTTTTTATTACGACAAGATGCTACCTTTCGGTTGCAAAATAAGTTGTGCAATTTGGGACAGATTTGCTTGCTTTCTGCATTGGCTTATACAGGATTGCTCAAAAAATGCCTCAATCCTGCATTATCTAGATGACTTTCTTTTCTGTGGCAAAGAACTTCCCATTTGCAAAAATACGTTGGACACTTTTCTTTATCTGTGCAACGATCTGGGGGTCCCTATTGCAAAAGACAAAACAGTATATCCAACGCAGGTTCTTACGTTCTTGGGCATTGAATTTAATACGACGGAAATGATCATGAGGTTACCGTTGGTAAAAATCGATGAAATCAAACAAAAGATTCTCGACATTATGGCACTTAAGAAGGTTACTCTTAAGCAACTTCAGTCTTTATTGGGTTTGTTAAATTTTGCATGTAGAGTTATAGCTCCAGGTAGGGCTTTCTGTCGACGTTTGATTGATGCAACAATTGGCCTAAACAAACCTCATCACCATACCCGTGTAACGTTAGAAATGAAAGCAGACCTCAAAGTCTGGCTTGACTTCCTCCAATCATTTAATGGCATTTCAGTCATTACAGAAGGTATATGGGTGAATAATGAGACTCTACAACTCTACACTGATAGCGCAGGGGGAGATAAGGGGGGTTTTGGTATATATTTTGCAGGCAAGTGGACATATGCTCAATGGCCCATTTCCTGGTTTGTACAAGGCATAACCCGTGACATGACCTTATTAGAGCTTTTCCCGGTCCACATAGCTATTGAATTGTGGAAACATCAATTTTCCAACAATAGAATTTTGTTTTACATTGACAATATGGCGGTGGTACATGTCATAAACTCGACAACATCAAAGTCACAAAGGGTCATGAAAATTGTAAGAAAACTAGTTCTCACTTGTCTCAAACACAATATTTTGATTAAAGCAAAACACATACCTTCAAAATCAAATTTTATTGCGGATTCTATCTCTCGTTCACAGTGGGGCAAATTCCGACGGCTAGCACCGGCAGCAGATCCATGGCCAACACCGCTTCCCAAGAATATGTGGGAAATTTAACAAGGGAGGCAAACAGACTTATACAGGGTTCACTATCAGCAAACACATACAAAGCTTACCAGGGGGCTCTCACCAACTTCAAAAAATTCCTGAATAATTGTGGGACCACATTGTATTTCCCCATTCCTGTTGATCATTTGCTTAATTTCATTGCCCACCTTTCTATTTCAGGTACAGCTTATAGAACAGCTGCACTGTACATTAGCGCATTATCATATATCCATAAATTAAGAGGCATACAAGATAACACACAATCATTCATTGTCAAAAAAGCCTTGCAGGGTCTCCACAAAAAGAGAGGTATCACTTTAGATTCTCGAATCCCATTAACTGTATCTATCTTGGAGCATGTAGTATCAGCATTGCCGTCAGTGTGTAGATCATCCTACGAGGCAGTGTTATTTTCCACACTTTTTTCAATTGCATATCACGGCTTGCTTAGAGTAAGTGAAGTTTTGAATATCCATAGGGCACACATCACGTTTACTAGAAGCAAGGTCAGCATCTTAATTCCCAGGTCCAAAACTGACCAAATGGGAAATACAACAACATTGCATATTTCCAAACAGTTAAATTCGGATATTTGCCCAGTACAGTGGGCACTCAGGTTTTTGCAGCTGCGTCCTAATGATGGTTCCCTTTTATGCTTTATTCATGTCGACAATAAGGGTGTAACAAGATACCAATTCAACTATGTGCTTCAAAAAGCACTTCAATTCAGGAACATTCAAGGACACTTTAGACCACATAGTTTTAGAATAGGCAGGGCTACAGATCTTGCAAAACAGGGGTTTCCAGATTCAGAAATAAAATCTTTGGGCCGGTGGGAGTCAAAAGCTTTCAGAAACTACATAAGATTATAACATGTTAGCATTGTTAAATGGAATACAGGCTAATTTTGCCAAAGTATTCCAGGTTTCAAGACGATTTGGATAGTGGGATCTTCAATACCTTATTGGGCTGGTGAGGAGGCAGGGAGGAGACCGGGTGGAAAGAATCTTAATCTTGGGATGGACATCACTTGGAAGGGAATTAAAGGGCTGAAATGGGAAGATCTTGACAAAGTGTTAACAGATGAACTCAAACACCAACCACACCCAGATGTACTAGTCATTCACGCAGGGTCAAATGATCTAACTACGGCTGGCAATACTGCACTTAGATTTTCACATGAAATTCAATGTAGTTTGTATCGTTATAATGTATTGCTTCCTAAGACTTTGCTCATTTGGTCAACAATGCTTCCCCGTCTTTATTGGCATGGTGCACCTCTTGGCAAGGGTGGGGCTAAGATTGATTTAAAACGGCGTAAGGTGAATAAGGCCATTAGAAAATTCATTACATCCGAAGTTAATGGGGCTTGCATTTTTCATGACAAAAATATCAACGTTCATCAAAGCAGTTTATTTAGATATGATGGAACTCATTTATCGGAAAGGGGGAATAAGGCTTATTTAAATAATATCCAGGGTGGTTTGGAATTCATTTTAGGGGGAAAGGGCAAAATTTTCCCTCCTCAGTAATGCCCTTTGTTTATCTAGTCAGATTTCAGTTGCGATGACGCGATGACCTGTAATTTCCTAGTTTAGGATTGCTATATATATAAATATTAAGTTTGGTGCAAATTGTTGTGGGGAACATCATATCGATGTTAGTGGCGGGGTCAAGGGAGACATCAGCCTTGAACATGCTTAACCTGTTTGTCTCTGCCCATCTGCATCAAAGCATGACGGGGGTCTCATGGCCGTGTTTTAACATGGAAGTTAAATGCCATTGAGGAAATGTGTAGAATAAATGTAAATTGCTTGAGATCTGCAGCATTTCAGTGCTCAGACCCCCTCTACCTATATAAAAGTAGGAGAAGCTACAGGCTGGTTGGTGAAATTCTAAACCAGGTAGCAAGCCAGAGGCAGGGTGTAAAAGCTGTGCAGCTTGTGTGCCTAGCCATCATGCGTGTGTCAGGCATGGGGTTCCATGGCACTCGCATCTAAGCGAGGCCACTAGTTTGCCCGTTTGTTTATGGTATCCTAGTTGTCTCCCTTGACTCCTACAAAATTTGCGGCCATTTTCATCCAACATTGTGTGTGTTGTATTATTATGATCTTTTTTCTCAATAAATTAGTAAAGTTACAATTGGTGTTTTCAATTCTCAGAGCTGTCTGGAAGACAGTCTCAGTATAATGGTATTGAAAAGGCAGAAAAAGCAAAAAATATCATGGGCTGCAATATTCAATTAATATAGATTATTGAAATGAATATGAGATAATCTCATTTAATTGTTTGGATAGCATTAAACATAAGACACAACTTGGTACAAGTTATCTAGTTCATGGGAAAGTCAGCATCAGGATGAGTTAACTATTATAGCAACTTCCTCTTCCTCTTCAACATCTCAGCCATTTGGTCATTAGTAAAAGTTACCCACCCACCACTCCCAATTTAAAAAAAAAAAAAAATGTATATATATATATATTATTATCATGTAACTGTTTTTTCTTTGATCACTTAAATCTGTGCCAAGTATTTTATATTTTTAGGTAGATTTCATGCTGTGGACTCAATCAAGCTAAGCTTGTTCTTTCAATACTTAGGACTTCTCAAGTGATTATTGTGGCAGATTCACAACCAATGCCTATTAATTCAGGAAGAAGCTGGGATTTTTCTTAAAAAAAAAAAAAAAAAAAAAGTGGACTTTACATTAAGCATATCAATATAGTTCTTTTTTCTCTTAATATAAAAATAATAATAATAAATTCAATGTCGCATTCATTAAGGGGGAGGAGTCAGGGAAACATTAAGGTAAACAAGAGTACATGCTTAACCTGTTTGTCTCTGCCCATCTGCATCAAAGCATGAGGGGAATATCATGGCTGTGTTTTAACATGGAAGTTAAATGCCATTGAGGAAATGTGTAGAATAAATGTAAATTGCTTGGGATCTGCAGCATTTCAGTGCTCAGACCCCCTCTACCTATATAAAAGTAGGAGAGGCTACAGGCTGGTTGGTGTTAAAATTCTAAACCAGGTAGCAAGCCAGAGGCAGGGTGTAAAAGCTGTGCAGCTTGTGTGCCTAGCCATCATGCGTGTGTCAGGCATGGGGTTCCATGGCACTCGCATCTAAGCGAGGCCACTAGTTTGCCCGTTTGTTTATGGTATCCTAGTTGTCTCCCTTGACTCCTACAAAATTTGCGGCCATTTTCATCCAACATTGTGTGTGTTGTATTATTATGATCTTGTTTCTCAATAAATTAGTAAAGTTACAATTGGTGTTTTCAATTCTCAGAGCTGTCTGGAAGACAGTCTCAGTATAATGGTATTGAAAAGGCAGAAAAAGCAAAAAATATCATGGGCTGCAATATTCAATTAATAAAAGTTTATTGTCTATCGGAACTTGCTGAAACGAACATCTATAAATTAAATTTCTAAAAATTATCGTCTCAGTTTCAATTCGAAATAAGTTGTGAATTTGTTTGTAATCTACTATGTAATTAATAACCAATTAATTATATCAAAACATGGACGACCCACAGTTGTAGTGTCATCTATGTAAACACCCAATTAACACCTCCATGCCAGCCCAAGGCGTTCATTGTTTCCATGCAGGTAAGTCCAGACTGCATCAATTTTACGCTTGATTGGCGGATATAAATGCGTAATCAAAACTTTGAGAGATAGAGAGTAAAATTCAATGAAATATGTGCAACGGGACCAAGATTTTGGTTCGAGAGATAGAGAACTTCGAGAGATAGAAGTTCGAGAGATCAGGAGTAAATTTGCTTAATTATATAGAGGAAAAAAACGGGACCGGAGGTTCACTTCGAGAGATTGGAGTTCGAGCCATCGAGAGTCACCTGTACTATCAAAGTTCCTCAGCCTTGCCAATTGCCAAGATGGACTTAACCAAAAATATTAATTTGCTTTTCTCAATAAAAAAATTATTATTACAAATGTAAAACCATACAAGTTGTTTTGTTGTTTGTCTTTGGCTGGCTTCTATTCAAGTAATAAAAGGTGGAAATTGTCCAGATACAGGCAGATTTGTTTGCCAGCTGTGAAATTAATGCAACTTGGGTAGTCAAGTGCACAGTTTTTTTAACCTGTGCCAAATAAAATTTTCAAAGTAGCTCTGCTTTTTAGAATGCCACTTTGAATACTCAGTAACTTGTTAATTTTATGTTGTTTATGATTGAGGCTAACTCTTGTGTATATTTCAGGGAGGGACTGATTTCAGTAGTAACCCGACCCCTGGTTTCTCACAGATCAGCCCTAACAGCTCTTCTCCTGGTAAGTGGACTTCAAGCTATGTTTTATAAACCAAGATCCTTACTTGCTTTAACTTATACGTACATTTTCTCATTGGCTAATGTAATTTTGAGAAAAAAAATTTTTGCCTCAACATCAGTATGGCCTTGTTTGTTATTACCATCCCTCTTTCCTTCCAGCCCCCATCTATCTGTCTATCACATCGTTGAATTTCATTTTTAAGAAAACTGCTCATTGACAAGATATTTTTTGTCAAGCTTCGTTTAAAATAATGTTCATATATAGAACAGGTTTTCCATGCTTGAAAGCCTGGCATAGCAATGTTTCAACACTGAAATTAATCAGTCTCATTTCCTTCATTGCTATACACTAAAGTAAAAGAAAATGTCTTGAGAAAATAAATGTATTAAAAAAGGAGTCAAAGTAATAAAGTATTTGATCTGTTTTCAGCTGGGCCTCCTACGTATACTCAGCTTGGATCACAGAATATTCCCAGTTCACAACCAAATAACTTTTCTCATTCCTCTCCCCCCACTTCTACTGGTCAGGGAATGTGGCCTCCCCCCTGGCAAGGAGGGGCAGCAGAGGCCCCCCAGAACCCCCCGGGTCCGCAGGCTCCCCCTCCTAACGGTCAGCAGAATGAGGAGTTCAGTGATGTTTTCCGTATGTTGGACCCTCCTGGACAGGAATTTAATGATCTCTCAGGGATGTTTAACACGTTCCAGGACTAGTGTTTTTAGGTCACCTGAGTAAACTCAGGTGACCTATTGCTATCCGTTTTCGTCCGTCGTCGTGCGTCGTCCGTCGTCCGTCGTGCGCCGTGCGTTAACATTTGAACATTTTCAGCTTCTTCTCTGCAACCACTGAACCAATTTCAACCAAATTTGGCACAAAGCATCTATGGGTGAAGGGGAACAAAAATTGTGAATTTCATGATCCCTGCCCCCCTGGTGCCTGAGGGGTGGGGCCAAAACCACTAAAATTAATGCAATCTTTAAAAATCTTCTTTCTCACTCCTGGACTTCAAGCAGTCAAACTGTTTGCATGATTGTAATCAGCAATGAGTCCTCTACCAAAATTGTGAAATTCATGGCCCTGGGGTCAGGGGTTCAAGTGCTAGGGCAGGGCTCAATAAGTAGGTAGTGAAAATGCATTATTTCTTTGAAAATCTTCTTCTCTGCTCCTGGGTATTAAATAAACCAACTAAGTACATAGTTGTGATAACCGCAAGAGTGCCTCTACCAAAATTGTGAATTTTATGGCCCCAGGGTCAGGGGTTCTGGTGTTAGGGCGGGGCTCTATTGATTATATAGTGAAAATACATGAATTCTTTGAAAATCTTCTTCTCTGCTCCTGGGTATTAAATAAACTAACTAAGTACATAGTTATGATAAGCAAGAGTGCCTCTACCAAAATTGTGAATTTTATGGCCCCAGGGTCAGGGGTTCTTGTTTTAGGGTGGGGCTCTAATAGTGAAATGCATGAATTCTTTGAACATCTTATTCTTTGCTCCTGGTTAATATACTAATGACCTAATTACATATTTAAGGCCAGGATTTATTTTATTTTCAGTTTTACAAACCCTCCGCTCAATGTTTTGAATTTTCAGAAAAAAAAAATAAAACAATTTTTTTCTTTCCGATGTCAAATTTGAGTCGGGATCGAGATTTCAAATTTACGACCTCGCACTTCCGGTTTTAAGATGATACGGCGGGTAAATAAACTTTAATTATAAAGCTAGATCTGAGCTTGGTTTAGTGTAAAATTCATCGATACGAGTGCCATTCAAAACGTTTCACCCGTTCAAAGGACAAATAAAATGCTGACGACTTTGCTGCACAATGACATGCTGGTGAGATAATTATGTATTCGTTTCAAAAGTATCTGTCTGTAAATAATTTTCCTCCCCCAGGTTTTAAACTGCCCGTGGTAGCTATTGCATATTGCCAGCGACATTGTTACAGTTTAGGTCTCTGTTATAGCTTACAGTCTAAGCATCATTCTTCAAAAAAGGGTTGCTTATGCATCAGATGTAATGAATAAAACTATGGGAGAAGTTAAGTCCATTTGAGGAAGAAATAAACAATAACCTGAAGAAATAAAAAAAAATTCAACTATTAAAAGGCGGCAAGAATATACAAATATATACAGGCATGTAGTATCAATTGTATCAGCCAGAAAAATTATTTAACAGTTAATTGAAAAAATGTTCACCATACTTCCCAATACTCCCTGTCTGTTTTATAGGAATTATAATTTTAGGCATCAAGTAAATTTTAGAACATTGTCTACACATTCATCTAACACATATTTAAAAAATGAAGATAAATTGAAAGACTTTTAAAGAATTGATTTTTTAAAATATATTTTGACCAACATCACAAAATTTATATAACTGGCCCAAGCTGGCATGAAATAAGCAATTAAATGTTCTACTTTCCTATTTGTAAGTAGTATGTGTCCAGTTATAAGGAGCCTACTAGAATAGCATAAAAAAAGAATGTACAAATGTTAATAATTGATTTATCAAAAATTCTCATGTTCATAACTAAACCTAAACATAAAAAAATGCTGGCCTTATAATGAAGAAAGGGGTCTCTTTCAAAATAGATAATTTCAGGGCCGCTGGGTCAGGGGTACCAGGGGGGTACTTTGACTAAAAATAAATTAATGCTTTGAAATCTGCCCTTTGATAAGCAATGGTGCCTCCTTCAAAATTTGTGAAATTCATGGCTTTTTGATTAAAACACGAACCAAATACAATCACTGGAAAGTTGTTACATGATACTCAGGTGACCTATAAGGCCCGTGGGCCTCTTGTTAGTGGGGCTGTCAATATCATATACAGAAACAAGATTCAGTGTTTAAATACCAAGATCTGTCATATCATCTCACTTTCCTGTTGTTTTGTTTGTCTATGCTGTATACTGCTTTAATTTTGCTTGTGGCTAATTTTCGTAAGAATATGTGTTTGGAGTTTGCAGTTTATTTTTAATTCCTATTATCTATACTGTGAATTTAAAAACTGCAAAATGAAGCCTTTGTACAGTGGTCTTTTTTATTATTTATGAAGTTTTCCTTTATAATCATGTATAATCAATTTGGTAGACAGGAAAGAAAAATGGATGAACACAATAAGATTGCATTTTATACTTTGGTAATTTTACAATGCCTGACTATTACATGATAGTGAGCTGCTGTATATAGTCAATAGCCATTGTACTTTTGATAGCAACCTCGTGTTTATCTTACATCAGTATTTACAACATCATAGAACTTGGTAATGTATCATCGCTGTGCCCATTTTGAGAATACGTGTAGTTTTGTTGATTATTTTGCAAAGTTTTTGATTTGCATTGTTTTGTTAATATAATTAAGATATAATTTGAGTGGCTAATGTTATTGTGATTTGTTTGTTTTCCTCTTTCTACGGTGCTTTACATGCTTATTGTATTGTTCTTTAAGGTGTTTTACAAAATTTTTATATGTTGAAAATTCTTTTAGTGCTGGCAAAAAAATGGCATGCTGGCAAAAAAAAAAGATTCTTTGAAATAAATTTACAATAGACATAATACCACAAAATGTACTATTTAAAAATTACCCTAACATCTAACATACATGCAAAATATTCTAGCAGAAAAAAAACACCTATTTATAAGGGAGTCATTTGCAACTTCCTCTAAAATGATATGAAATTTAAAAAAAACAAGCAACATACAAGTGAAGACTTATAGGCAACAAATATATGTGGTAGATAAACATCAAAATAAATCAACCAAAAAGTTGAATTAAAACACTTGATCTTATTGGTGACCACATAAGCTTATACATGTAATTCATCCAAGAATAAGTCTCTGTACTTTACTCTTGTGGGGTAAATTACTGATAAGCCAATACCCGGTAGGTATTTGTCAGACATATGAAAATCATTAAGTATATTTTGATTGGAAGCCTCTTAAATACCATTTTAGATGCATTTATTTGTTGCCATAATATTTGTACAAGATCTACTTCAATATGTATGAATATATGTATATATTACTTAAAAACTATACTAGACTTCATGATGGAGGGGAAAAAAAGGATGTGCAATGTTGAGAAACTCTTTTTAGATGAAATAAACTTAGATGTAGTGTTTTTTTCTTTTTATTTATGCAGTTTTGCCTCAAACTGTTATGTTAATTTTATTTTTTCCATTAACTTTCTTGTATCATTTAAAAGATATCAGAGTTTGTATTAAGTCTTCAAAATTAATTTGTATCATGGAAAAGATATCAGAGTTTGTATTAAGTCTTCAAAATTAATTCCATCAATTTTTAATTCAATTTTGCATTGGAAATATGAAAATGCATCCTGAGCAGCAAAATTCAATATTTGTTTTTTTTAGCTGTCATAAATAAAGCACAAAGACACCTTGTTTCAAGTTTAAATCTTTAAAATTTTTGTATATACATGTATATGACATTGTAAATATTCATTTTCACATGTTTAAAATTCTATATTGAACATGCTGCCATATTTTGAATATATCGTAAGTTTCATCATACTACCACATTGAATTATTTACAGGGATTTACAGTTATGTATAATTATATTTTGATAATACCTTATTGTCTAGTTATAACATACTAACAGCTTTTTAACTACAGATTTGAAATTGTTAATCCTTGGCTCTTTTAAGAGTCAAACCTATAGAAATGTGCCATACATTCACATTCTTTTGCAAAAGGTTCACCATTTCATTCCTATATCTATCATTGGCAACATTGGATTTTTGAGATAACAAAATAACTTTAGTTTGAATCTAGTGGTCACATAGTCGGTTAATAATTTTGAGTATGTAAATGTATTTTTATATGTTTGTATATATTGAGGAGTGTCCTCTTTTAAGATTGATATTGTATTTTTAGATAAAAAAAAATGCAGTCATTATGTACATTCTTACATAGATTTCAAAGTTCAAAGCAAAATCAAAAGAGACTTTTAATATGTTACATCAAAAGGATAAATGTGCAGATTTAGAAATAAATGTATATCATTTTGACACTCATGTCGTTTCTTTAGTTACTGTAATTTACTTTTCTCTATAGATTTATAATTAACAATTTGAGTTGTAGTGATTCTATCGACAATTTCTTCACAGACTGCTGTAAACCATTTCCTAGATTTGTGGTTGAATAAATGTTCATTACAGTAACATAAATATTTGGCTATCACTGGAACCATTTATACAATATTTACCCTTTTTTAACATATTTTAGTAACAAGTTTTAATCAGTAGGTGTACAGACTTGGAAAAGTTTGTTATACATTTATTGTTATTTATACAATTTTATGAACAGCAAGTCTGTAAAGCTTTGTTTTGTACATGTTCAATTTATATTTGTTGTCATTCCTCGTAGTATATTAAATAAAATCATTTATATGTAATTTGGGTATTTTATCTGATGATCCATAAGTAAAGTAACAGTGCAAGACAGCTGCATACTTTTCAGAAGGGTTTGAGGGGGGGGGGGGGCATGCATATATACATAATATGTAAAGTCAAATCTGGCAATCTCAAACTCAGTAAGATGGATGAAAAGCTTCCAGATATCTGATGATTCAAGATATCAACTAAAATACTTAAAGAATAAGTGTTTTGGACTTCCAAATCACTTTGACATATCCTGGTATCTGAGATATCCTGGTATCTGAGATATCTGTGTTCGAGATATCGAAGTTCAACTGTATGTGTATATATGAAATTAAGGTCTATCTATAAACACCCCATTTACAGTAACATTCTGCCCAGTGTTAACCTCATGCCTCCTCCTCAGTTCTCAGTTGAAACCAGGGAGTTACTTAGATTCCAGTTCATTCTTTAGTAGAAAGACCTTGGGCAACAATTTCGCCAGCAGTTGCAACTTTTCCTGAAAAATTTATAAACAAGTAAAACAATAAAACATAATATGGATGCCATCTGCTGGATCCAGTGAAAAGGGTTTTGTCAAGTTTCACAAATTGTCCTGTTTTCATGAATAGGCTTAAAAAGCCTACATCTTGGAAAAAATGGGTTTTATTTATGCATATGAGAATATAAATTGTGAATCTGATGTTTATCAAAAGAGTTTGAAATTGTAATAAAAAGGGAGATTATCATAGGAAAGAGATGATAAAAGACAAAGTTGAACTACTGTATATTGTGATATTTGGGTTTTTCCATACATATATACCAACTGATTGTTATCTTGCTAGCTGTTTCTAGGAAGAATCTGGTACATTTTCGTATATATAGTCTTCTGATTGATATAACCCCCTCTCTCTCTCTCTCTCCCCCCTTGGCAGTAGATCATAATTTGAAGAAATTAATAATATAAGTACAATTTATGTGGATGCTTCCAATAATAGCTCTTGTTGTGGACTCATCCTTTGGACTTGAGAAAAAGGAAAAAAAATCAGATTTTTCCTGTATGCAACTATGATTATAATTTAATTTTATTCTCAATTAAAATTTGTAGGGGAGGGGGTTAATTTAAAAAAAAAACTAAAAAATACAGACACATAGAACTTAGAAGAGATTTCCAACAAGACTGACTTCCTTTTATTATATAATCAATGTCTTTTGAAAGAGGCTATTTTTTCTATGTCAGATCTGAAAATCGGGGCAATTAGCATACCAAAAGTCCCAATTATCACACAATTTTTAAAATGTATAAACTGAAACGTCAAAGACTAAAAATAAAACATGCACACTATGCAAGACTGCATGCTATAAATTTAGTTTCCTCAAAATTTACTTTCAGATACACTGGCGGAAATAGCATACTGCCTGGCATACAGGAATTCCCCTTGCCCCCAGTTTTCTGTAACATCATCGACGTTGGACACTCTCCGCCGCCAGAATCCATGCCCTCAGGCTATCACCGGACTGCTCCGAAATGGGATAAGTTCCTTTTTGTTGTATTTTCTGACCATAAAAATATATTGAAAGTCAATTTCGAGGTGACAAAATAAACCAAAAAAAAAACACATAAAAGCCCTAGCACTTACAGTTCAAAAGTTATGGTCAAGGTTAAAGTTTTTTTAAGTGGGTCAAACTCTGAGGCCAAGGTCAAAATTGTTGGTATCCAAAGGAATGTCTTGTCGCAAGGAATACACTGGTCAGGGAAATATGAATGCCCTAGTAGAGTTCTGACAGTTCAAAAGTTATGGTCAAGGTTAAAGTTTTCTTTTAAACTGGGCTAACCTCTAAAGTCAAGGTCAAATATTTTCACCCGATAAAGGGATACACATGTGAGGTATGAAAGCCCTAGCTCTAACTTTTCAAAAGCTATGGCTATAGTTAAAGTTTGGAAATTTTTAGTAAAAGTGGGTCAAACGTCAAGGTCAAAAGGTCAAATTCGGTAGTACCAATAGAAAGGTTTTGTCACAAGGAATACAGTTGTGCAATGTGAAAGCCATAGTCCCATCCACTCAAAAGTTAACTTATGGACATACAGATAAAGGAGACAGACAGATGGACAAGGCTAAAACTATATACACATGTACACATACCCTGAATCTTTGATTATGTGTTAAATAGTTTCTTACCATCCCATGACATCACCCGTGTAAAAGTGAACTATATCTGGACTTGTGGTGGGATTCATTGGAGGGATTTGTTGAATTGTGGATGCTGAAAAAGAATTTTATTTATTTTTAAATTATTACAAAGTAAATATTGTATACACACACATAAAAAGAAAATTGAACAGCAGTTTAATTCCCTCTCCCTCCCCCTCTCTCTCTTTTTTTTTTTTTGAGGGATCGATTCAAATTAAGATTAACTCAGTGTTCTATATCTTACCTCCGGTTGTATATACCGATATTTCTTGGATTAAGCGATAGGACATAGCTTTGTGGGGTCGCCAGATTTGTTACCATAATTTCCCTTCACCGATGGATAAGATTTTCCAGTGTTTTACAATTCCACAGAAAGGAAAAGCGTATTCCGGGGAAGTTGATAACAAACCCATTCTTTGTATAAAACAAGATTTATCTGTGAAACACTGCACGATGCCCCCTGTGACACAGCTATACACAAAGGTTACAAGCTAATTCAGAGAATCTGTGCCCCCCGCTAAGGGAAAAACTGACCGGGAGGGTCGAGGGTGTGTGTGGGGGGGGCTCTTATAGATTGGCGGGAGGGGCATAGGAAGTTATGGTATAAAATTTAATCGAAAAATTCTCAAAAGCTTCTTGAGATATCGCCTACATAGAACATACACACTCACAAAATACATGATTTAACTACCTTTGGCCTCAAAACCAACCAATTCCTTAGGCCATAGAGAGTTGTGGTATTAAAAGTGATTGTAAACGCTCAAACGCTTCTCCAGATATCACGCAGACACGAAAGTGTAAATTAGACAGATTTTTTAATGACCTTAACCTTCATAGGCGTCGGAACCGGGGGCAGGGGAGATACACATTATATAGGCATTAAAATTGGGAGTTACCTTTTTTGTTGGTTTATCCCCCCCCCCACTTTCAATTAGCACCCCTTTCAAATTGGTTCCGAGGCCTATGACCTTTGACCTTTTCACCTCAAAATCGGATCGTTCGTATGCCATATGACATTATCGTGTAAAATTGTATTGCAAAGCCCCAAGGCTTCTCGGGATAAGGCTTCTCGGGCTTCTCAAAAGGGTGAAAACTGAAAGATTAAAAGGTCAAAAATATTTATAATGTATATCTACAGAAAGGCCATGTCACAATGAATACAATATCCATGATATCGTTATGTGAAGTATGAAAGCTCCAGCACCAACTGCCCGAAAGCTATGGCAAAGATTACAGTTTGGTAAATATTTGCAAAAGTGGGTCAAACTCCAAGGTCAAAAGGTCAAATTTGGTGGTACTCAAAAAGGGTCTTGTCACAAGGAAAACATATGTAATATATGAAAGCCAAAGCTTCAGCCAATCAAAAATTATTGGCAATTTTAAAGTTTTTGAGGACAAGCAGAAAAACAGCTTAACAGACAGACGAATGGATAGGGCAAAAACAATATACTCCTAAATGTTCCTACATGCGTGCAGATGCTGATAAACGTTAATTGAATTAAAAAAAAATTAATCATGATGTACGTTGGTGATGGATTTCTTACCTTCAGTATTTTCTATGGAATTATACCCCGAGACAGATAAATTGCCTCCCACGGTGAACTCCAAACCTACACGAAATATGGAAATAATCTCAAAAGTCCACTCAAACAATACCAATCAGGGGCAGAGTAAATACGGACCTCTGAAATATGAGGTGGGATCAGTTGCCATATAAAATTGAGCATCCCCTGCCGACCGGTCACATCCACCCGTGTGCTCCTTGTTACGGTTTTATACAAACAGAATCTAAAAAAAGTATCGGCGATGAAAATTTGTCATAAATACTTTGATTGAATACATTTAGTTCACAGGGGCTGGTAACATAATGTTTTTGATTTTACTTAATCACTATACAAAAAAAGTATACATATAGTGATTACGTAAAATCAAATACATGTTACAGGCCCCTGTGATTTAGTTCTATATGCTTGTATAGAGTTAAATGTTGAATACACGTAAACATCACCCCGTCGCACTTTAACCCCGACACCTCCAACCCTACCCGAAATTGAAAATTAAAAAGTCATATTTGTGTTACATATGAACTGCAATGTTAAAAAATGGAAAATCCGAACATCTTGCTCAAAATGCTCATTTAAAAAAGTTATTTTTATACATATATGTATTATAGGTCCAACTAAAATGATGTTGCTACTTTCCATTGAACAGTTTTACTCTATATTTAAAGATTTTTATATTTTAACTTACCAAGCATGCACTTCAGAGACAATGTAATGCACAGGATGTTGGAATAATAGAGTCCATGGCTTTTTCATCACACCCATTCATTACATATAGTGAAATTTTAGCTATACACTGTAGTGTTAAAATAATTTAATGAGAATTGTTGCTGAACATAAAATGAGGATTATCGCATAGGCAACACAGCCAGCCAGGGACGGTAGGTCTGGTTTAGGAAACATTTAGGGACAGGTTCAACTTCTACCGTACTAGATTCTCTACATATACTACATTGCCCTTATTTGACCTTACTGTAACAAAAAGTGGGGCAGCCCTCAATGAACATTTTGAATAGTAAAAAGTTATGTTTGAAAAAATGGGTCAGCCCTCCCCTTCCCTTCCAATATGCCTGTGGTGAAGTTTACTTGGATTCGAGTATTTTTAGCTCGCCTGTGCTTTTCTGACCAGATATGTTCCTGAAGTGCATGTGTAGCAATGAAATATTAATTCATTTTATTTTCAGGGTGGTCATCGGAATTTTTGGGCACAAACACGTCTATGGGACAATGTACTCTTTAAAAATAAAATAACTTGCAAGGAGGGAACAGAAAAAAATATACTAC